TCCATCCTCTCCGCGACGGGTGGCCACACGCTCCTCGGAGGTGGGGCGCCGAACGCGAGGGCGTAGAGCTCGAGCGCGTCCTCGTACTGCCGCATGTAGCGCGCGTTTGCGGCGTCGCCGCCGGGGGTGGGGTCGTGGTGGATGAAGGTGCCGCCGACCAGCGCGCAGAGGTGGGCGTACGCGACGGTGTACGTGAGGGCGAGGTGGAAGACGTTGTCCACAACAACCGAGGGGGTCACGTCGGGGCGCACGGACTTGAGCGCCAGGAAGCGGAGGAACTCACGCACGTGGAAGTCGGCCTCGTCTGCGCAGCTCGCCGCCGACTTCGCGCTGGCGCCGTCGTGCTCCGCGTGGAGGTACTCTTGCTCGTAGCGCTGCTCGAACGTCAACTCCACGTCGGCGTCGTCTGGCTCGAGTAGGTCGAACGAGAAGTGCTCGGCACGGGCGAAGGCAGACGAGATTGTTATTTGTTGTTCCAGTGATATCTCCGATTCCGGTATAGTCTAAACCGTAAGTTTCAATAGCTGGAATCCATTTTCTCAAAAAAGTTTCAACATTTCGTTTACCAGACTCTGGAGGACATTTTATTTGTTTCATAATCATTCTTCCGCTTCCAGCACTTTCACTTAAATTACCATATCCATTTATGTGATCAAATTCAGATGAGTAAGTATCTTTAGAAGGACATGCCTCGTTTTCAATTTCGCGGTTTGTTTTTATTTCTGTTTCATTTGTACTTACCATTATTCTTTTTTGAGAAATTTAATATAACCGAAAATGTTTGATAATGGTAATTGCTGTATCGTATCATCTTCTCCTGGATAAAGTGAAAATTCCTTACTAATTTTGTATGCTAATTTATCAACTCTATATAATTTGATATCAAACCACTCGTCGTCTCCATTTAACTTCTTAAAATGAAATTTGTAGCAATTGAATAGAAGTATAAACACCACTACCCACAAAACAAATTGATGGAACATGATTACATCAGTTGACTCAGTAGTGTCATCTGGCAATAAAAAAAGTTCAAATATTATGATAGCAAGAAGAACGTTACCTAAAAATGAAAAATAGGGTTTATCTTCAGGAACATAAAGAACAACATGAGATGCAATATACAAAATTAACATGAAAGTAAAAATTTTATAATAAACGATCTTCATGTTGGCTCTTTCATCTTTCCTGAAAAATGTATTGAATAGAAAGGCGAAAAAAATTGGAACTAAGAAAACCAAAGTATATTCTATAATTACATTTACCATTAAAACTATAAAGTATTTAAAAAATTATTTTTGAATTCCAAAATATATAAGTCAATCTTCGCAACAATATATATCATGCTTGACGCTCTTGTATTTTGGACAGGATTCATCATTGTTCATCAGATTCTACGGAATTCTGTTCCATGAAATTTTTCACCAAAATAGCTTTCATGTCCAGGATTATAGAAATAGCAGTTTTCAGTTTATGCTCATTTATTTCACCTTTTGTTATATCAATCAAATGTTTTTGGTATTTAGGCGACAAGCCTTTAAAAATTTTGGTATTTAGTTGTCCAGCTTCATTTCTACAATAAAAAATGTTTAAATGATCAATACATATAACGTCTCCTTCGTTTTGTATGAGGCCTTATCAAACGTTCGGGTCCGGGACGGGGTGCGCGCGGAGTCCTCGCCGCACGCACGGCAGGCGCCGCAGCGCGGCGAAGGCGCTGCCGTCCTCGACGAGGTGGCGAAAAAACGCGTCGCCCTCCTCCCTCGTGGCGAGCAGTTGGCGTTGCTGCCGAGGCGCACCTCCGCCGCCACCACCGCTGGTGTAGGCCACGACGTACAGTGGGAGCACTTGTGTGGCGCCACTCTCGAAGACGACGAAGATCGAGGGGTCGTCCACGTCGTCCACGGCCGTGTCGTGGTGCACCGTGGTCGAGCCCTCGCGCAGATCCGGGCGCTTCATAGATTTCCGACCCGTGCAGCTCGAGCCAACGGCCACCGCGCTCAGGAACATGTGGTGCCACCCCGAACCGCTGTCCGCGGGAGCGTAATTGTGACTGTAGCCCACGTCGCGCGCTTGGTACACCCCATCCCCGTAGACCCGGCCGTGCGTCGCGTGGAGGCGGTGGTCAAAGCCCTGCGCCGCAATCGTGCGGCACGGCTCGGGGTGGGCGCACCCGTGGAACAGCAGCCGCTGTAGCGGCTCCACGCCACCGTGTCGTGCGGCAACGGCCTTGACCGAGCCGCTGTAGCGCGCGTGAAGCGACATGTTGCGCAGCCTATAGACCTCGTGGACCTGGAAGCCCCCGCCGCCGCGCAGGGCAAAGTGCGCGGCCACGGCATCGAACTCTTCCTGGCCAGGGCGCAGAGCGGCGATATCCTGCGTGTCCCGGCGCAGCGTTTCGCCCGGCACCTGAACCGTGACGACGCTCCCGGGAACCGCGCACGCGGGCAGCGCGATGATGTGCCTCCCCACCTGCATCTTGCTGCCCGGCCCGAGACCAGGGGGTACGGTAATGGGCACGTTGACGGTGGAGGCAGCATTCTGCCACGGCAACGGCGGCGCTCCGACGTCACGGCCGAGGAGCTCGTGCAGGAAGCGGTCCTCTTCGATCGCCGCGAACGCGGCGTCCACCTTGCGCCGGAGCGAGGGCGTAGCGAGCACGAACTCCGCGGCCCGCTCCGGGGTGATAAAAGAAAGGGCCAACCGAACTGATGCCTCGGTCGGGACCAGCACCTCCCGGGCGGCCGGGGCGGGCGCTGCAGCTCCACCACCGAATGCGCCCGGGGTGGGCCCAAAGAGGCTCGCGCCGGAGAGGCTCGCGCCCGGCTGCTGGCCCGCGGGCGTCGACGGCGGCGCGCCGAAGCCGCCGAAGGCCGGCTGCGCGGCGGGGGGCCCAAAGGCCGGGGGCGCGCCGAAGGCGGGCGCCGCGCCGCCCGCGGGCGGGAAGCCGCCGAAGGACGTCGTCGCGGAGGCGCCGAAGGTCATCGCCGTTTGCTGAGGGGTGCCGAAGCCCCGCTTGGTTTGTTGTTTGTCTCGAACACATTGTAAAGCGTGCAATCGATCTATTCTTGTATTTCCGTCCACTTGGCCTTTCGTATCTCCCACTAGCCTTCAGGAGCTAAAGGAAGCAAGTAAGATCCTCCCTCGAGGGGAGGTTGAGCTCAGTTTCAATTAAATATGCCAGGATGAAGGCCGACGGACCGCGCTTGGATGGCGCAGCCACCTCAGCGGGGATGGAGGAGGGTAGGGCAGGGCGGGTGCTTCATCTGTGCCGAAGGAGGGTGGTGGGCGGGCCAAAAAAAATATAAGCCGCGCCACCCCGGACCCCGGGGAAGCGGCGAGCTGGGAGAGGACCACCACAACCAGCAGTTTTATTTAGCTGGATGATGATAGGTGGTCTAAACTCACTAACTCGTTACCGGAAACATATTGTACTGCCGTAAATGCAATTTCCGTCCACTTGGCCTTTCGTATCTCCCACTAGCCTGAGCTAAAGGAAGCAAGTAAGATCCTCCCTCGAGGGGAGGTTGAGCTCAGTTTCAATTAAATATGCCAGGATGAAGGCCGACGGACCGCGCAGGCTAGGAGACGCCTCTGCCGGAATAACAGCTGCAGCGAACAGTCAAGTGGAGAAGCTTATGGGCGGAATTACGAAGCGGAGCGGTAGCAAGTCTCTGTCCGACCCGCTGATGATAAGTAGGTTTGAAGAGCTGAGAGTTTGCATGCTGACCTATTGCGGTAACAATCCACCAACCGCAGGCGTTTGTGCGGGTTACCCAGCCGGACGAGCATTGGCGGTGTGGTCCACGAGGACAAGGTCCTCCGCATGGAGCATCTCCACATCTTCCAGGCAGGTCACAAGTTGGGGTGGGAACAAATTATGGCAGCGGACGAGTTGGTCATCCACATCCCAGGCTCCAAAACAGACATCTACAACGACGGTTACAAGCTCAATATCAAACTGCGAGCAGGTGACACGCCGTCTGACATCAACCCGTTATGCCTCCTTAGGCAGCTGTACACAATGAACCCAGCCCGCTTCGGAGCCAACGGGTCCAAGCGGCCCGTGTTCTGCTTAGCCTGCGGTAGGGTCCTGGAGCGTAGCACAGTTAACACAGCGCTCAAAGCAGCGGCGGTGGCTCTGGGTCTGGACCCTGCTGATCACGCCACCCATTCGCTGCGGAGCTACAGCCTTGTATGCCATGGGGTGGCCCCCTTCAAAGATCCAGCGTCGAGGGCGGTGGCTGTCTGATTGTTGGTTACTGTATATTTGGCCGGACAGGGAGGAGGCAACAGGTCTCATGGAAGACGTGGTCTCCAGTCCGGCCCCCTTGTTCCATATTTAAAAAAAAAGAAAAATTACTTTCCTCATTATGTTGCAGAAGTATGGCTGAGGTGGCTGCGCCATCCAAGCGCGGTCCGTCGGCCTTCATCCTGGCATATTTAATTGAAACTGAGCTCAACCTCCCCTCGAGGGAGGATCTTACTTGCTTCCTTTAAGGCCAAGTGGACGGAAATTGCATTTACGGCAGTACAATATGTTTCCGGTAACGAGTTAGTGAGTTCATCATCCAGCTAAATAAAACTGCTGGTTGTGGTGGTCCTCTCCCAGCTCGCCGCTTCCCCGGGGTCCGGGGTGGCGCGGCTTATATTTTTTTGGCCCGCCCACCACCCTCCTTCGGCACAGATGAAGCACCCGCCCTGCCCTACCCTCCTCCATCCCCGCTGAGGTGGCTGCGCCATCCAAGCGCGGTCCGTCGGCCTTCATCCTGGCATATTTAATTGAAACTGAGCTCAACCTCCCCTCGAGGGAGGATCTTACTTGCTTCCCTTATTGCCGGCCTCTCCTCTCCCGGACCCGACAATACAGTCTTTGTCGGTGAGCACGTCACCGTTCGATATACATGGGGGCATCGCATCACGTTGCCCACTTCATCAATTTTTGTTTGTTTTTGACGCACGCCGTCCGAGCGCCCGGATCAATGGTGCTCTCGAGCACGTGCTTAGAGTACGCTTGGCCGGTGCCCGTTGTCACCGCCTCCCAAACCTGAGGGCCAAGGTTTGCTACCTTAGTCGACGCATCCGTGATCTTAACCAAACCGTCGCCGCTCTGTCCGTCGAGGTCGATCGCCCGCCAGCGCCGAAGGACTCGGACCTGTCGTTCTCGTACCAGGCGACCGTGTCGTCACGGTAGGACGCCGACAGCGCGTCCATGTCGCCGTCGTCGTCGACATGGCGAAGACGGAGTAAGCTTCGTCCGCGAGCGTCGTAATGGCGCGCTCCGTGAAGGACTGGGAGCCATCGTTCTCATACCACGCGACTGTGTCGTAGCCTGCGTCTGCTGATGGCACGTCGACATCGCCGTCGCCGTCGACGTCGATCGCGAAGACAGAGAACGCGCCGTACGCCAGCGTCTTGATGATGCGCTCGGCAAAGAACTGGGACCCGTCGTTCTCGTACTACGCGACCGTGTCGTCGTTGTAGGACGCCGAGAGCGCGTCCACGTCGCCGTCGCCGTCGACGATCGTAAAGACTGAGTTGGCGCCTTCGGCGGATTTGGTGATGATCCTCACCGAGAACGAGACGCTGGCGCAGCTCACGGTCGGCCGCGGAGTCGGTGCGGCGGTGATCGTCGGCGCGGGACTCGCAGTCGGCGCGGGGCTCGCGGACGGCGCGTGCGTGGCGCAGTCGCTCTCGTACCAGGCGACATTCTCCGACAGCGCGTCTACGTCCCCGTCTCCGTCGAGGTTGATCGCGAAGACAACAAAAGCGTAGTCCACGAGCGTCATGATGATGTGCTCCGTGAAGGACTGGGAGCCGTCGTTCTCGTAGCATGCGATAGTGCCCTCGCCCCGAGCATCGCCCGACGACGTCGAGAACACGTCCACGTCGCCGTCGCCGTCGACGTCGATCGCAAAAATAGACTGGGTCACGCCTCTTGGACAAGAATCTCCCCTTTTGGTAGTAGTTTTATGCTGATTTAGGACTCATTTCTCCGATTTTGGTAATATTATTGTGATTTAGGACTCATTTCTCCCTTTATGGTACATTTTGTTAATGGACTCCCTTTTCCCAAAATGGTAGAAAAGCCGTGCCCACGCTCGCTTGGTTAGGTTCAGCCGAGAATCCGTCAAGGGAAACATTAACCTACCCTCCTAAATCCTGTGATTTTACTTGACCTTTTGTATGTGGCTACAGTGGTCAAACCACCGCATTCTTGTTTGGAAATTTCTGATTACTTTTAATGAGTGATTTAAAGCGAGCGCAGAGCAACCTCAATCAAACGAGTGGCCGATAGCTCGCGAAGCGAGCTTGCCGGCCGTATGGCTTAGTCGCCTACTTGTATCTTTTGTATGAGGATACGTGGAAAAGGTATCCTCTTCTTTCTTTTCTCTTGCACACTTCAGTGACCGAGGAGTCTGGGGGTTGCGTTCGCATCTCACCGCTTAGTGTCGCTAGATCCCCGCCGGTTGGTAGGGCAGTGTAAATATCTACCTTTCTAGTCTACTGCAGTGAAGGCGCTTACATTCCTTTACATAAGCAATGAACTCTATTACAATTAGCTTGAGCTTTTTTTTAAAATATTGTGCCGAGGAGGGTAGGGCAGCCCTGGCGGGTGCTTCATTTGCGCCGAAGGAGGGCTAAAAAAAAAAACGTGCCACCCCGGTCCCCGGGGCCCCGGGAAGCAGCGAGCTGGAGAGACCACCACCAGCAGTTTTATTTAGCTAGATTACATTGGTCGGGTGGTGCACCAGTTGGTGCGTGAGAATCATCTGCAGCTAGTTGAGTTTCCTGATTTTGAAGCAGCTGTGGCGGCGCTGTCGCAAGCTGTTCAGAACCGGGCTGTGGAGACGGGCGTCGAATTGTCGATTTGTGACGAGGAGCGGGCACCTGACCAAGTCGTGGGTGATTTTCGGGTGAATGACAAGGAGTTGAGTGCTCCTGTCACTATGGCACAGGTCCAGAGCATGTTGGATACGCGAGATGCGACCAACGAGCGAGACTTCGAGACGATGCTGGACAAGAATAATGTAACGTTAACAGCCAGCATTACAGAGATAGTGAAGCAGCAACTGACAGAAGCGCTCGCGGCGGCCCGCGAGCGGCCGCCGCAGGCCGCGGCCCCGGCGCCAAAATCCGTTTAGGTAATCTTGATCCTAATAAGAAAACGGGGTTGGTAGAGTTGGGGTTCGTCAGCCTGTCGTGCCTGTTGAAGGTGAAAACCACACTAGAAGAAGACAAGCTTGGAATACCAGAACTTGACGCTAGGTTCAATGTGAGGTTGGCTGTACCAAATATTGCATAGCCACCGAGGCACCGTCCAATAATCAGAGCAGTCCGTGTTCAGCACCTCATACATATCTTGATTGACCGCACTACAACTCTCCTGGCCGCTGTCCTGATACTGTTGAAACTTGTCCCTTAACGCGTTATGTATGCGGATGCTTTTGGCTTGAAATAGCGCGTACGCAGTTTTGACTAAATTCGGAAAAATCATCTTGAAAAATCTCGCCACCGTCGATTCTGATAATTTCTTGTAATTATAAAAATCATCTAGGTAGACGGCGAATGCCATTAAAATCGGGTGGTTGACGTTCCCGGCAAAATACTTGTATGACATCCAAGTCATGACATCCGCTTTATCACCGCGAACTGACAGCGATACACTGGGGCCTTGGATTTTGACTGCGTGCCA